CATCAAGTCCAAACGAATTATTAGGATGCATGTGACAACTCAAAATTTAATTTTATAAATTCGGTTTTAAGAAATTCCAAAATAGTCGTTTTTCACTCTACCAAAATTTTTGTAATGAAAACGGTGTTTGAATTAATTATTTTGAGCTACGTTTTAAATAAATTCAACACCGGGACTTATTTTATTTCTAAAATCCTAAATTCCCGGGTACATTGCGTACCAAGCTTTTGATCCAAAAGTCAATCTGAGTGAAACCGGGAGAAATCTAAGAAACCTAAACTAAGTTGTTGTCTAGAAAGTATTTTTGGAAAAATGCATTTTGACCCCCATACTATTTAAAACTATCTTTTTAAACTTTGGTTCATGTTGCATAGTGAACCACAAGCTTCCAATACCTTTGCCTGATATTTTGAAGGTTCAAGCCAAAAGACTACTTTACCCTCAACCAATCATTTGCATTTCACCTAGAATTTTGGACCCTATAAAAGCTTCATTATTCTCTTGTTGTCTCCTGATCCCTTCCATATGCTCCACTCAAGCCCTAGGCTGCCAAGAAGGAGAAGAGAAACACAGTAAGGTTTCAAACATTCATCTCCATTCATTTTCCATCCTAAGCCTTCCTTTTCTCTTAGCTTTCCATCTCTGAGGTTTGTTAGGCTTGGCTTGTGTTGTTATTTGAGGTGTCTAGGTGGTGATTGGAGTGGTGTTTGAGTAGAGTGGAGGCTGAGATCCACACAAGAAGAGGTATAACCCTTGGACTCCCACCTCTTTACTTAGGCTCTGTGAAGTCAAGTTTATTTATGAAAATGTGTATAAATGCTAGATTATTGATGTTGTTGAGTTATTAGTGATCTATTGTTGATCTATGATTGTGCTGTTGATGATTCGGAAGTGTTGGATTGCTCAAGAATTATTGCAGGTGGAGAAGAAATCCCTCTGGTGCACACTATCTGTGCACCCGACTAGCTCACGGAGCTAGCCAACGGCCCTAGGCAGGGACCGTTGGCTAGTCCCATGGAGGAACGGCCCTAGGGCACGGCTCTCAGCTAGAACCGTGGCCCTAGGCCGCTGCTTGGCGGAGCCAAGTGGCGGGGCTCCTCAAGCCCCGCCGCGAGCTCCGCCAAGCCAATCCAGTGCTGTAGCCGGGCCCTTTGTGGCTTAGCTACGTGTTGTTCGGTCCTGGACTCGCAGACCCTTGAGGCTCGGACACTCGGGTTCGTTACGACGCACTAGTAGAATTTGACTTCATTGAATTTGGAGTTTAAATGAGTAAATTACAGTAGAATTTGTGTTGATTTATGCTATTGAAGTAATGTGTATTACTTATAGAGAAGGAAAATGTGAAGTATTTGGACTTAGCTATTTGAATGAGAAGCATGATCATTATTTGCTAAATTTGCTTGATTAGCATGTTTAAATAACCATTGTGAGTTATTGAGGATTTTGTTAAGAATATGAATATTTGGTTTATACAGTACATAAGCCTATTTGAGTACAGTGAAGTGAATTACTAAAGTATGAAATATAAGTTGAGTTTAAGAAGTGTATTTCAAGTTTAAAGAGCATGATCAATATTTTCTAAGTGTTTGCTAAGAAGATTACACTAGAATTGATTTATAAGCATGAGTTAATACATTTTTTACCTTGACTTATAGTCAAAGAGAATTTAGGATATTCTTTATAGTACGTAAAAGAGCATGTTTAGTATATCATGAACTAAAGTGCATTAGCGGCTCTACGTAAGCCTAAGTATTCTTTCAAAACCTATATCTATTTTGGAAAATCATTATCTAGTTGCATTGAGAAGTTACATGATATTTGATTTCCAATTTGTAAGAAAAGAAAAGTTGTTGAGAAGATATGTGCATAAGTTTGCATAAGTAAAGTTGTTGCATGAGATTGAAGTAAATGAGTTATATATATATGTATCTAGTGTGAGTAATCTGAGGTTTTGGAGGCCCGTTAGGACTATGTCCTTTCGGAAGAAAAGAGAAAGTAAAGAAAGAAACGGACATTGCGATCCGATGTGAAGTAACGAGGTCGATATTCCCGAGTTACTAGGTAGGATACTACCCACCGGGCTTGGAATCCTGGTCAGGGGGTGTGCATACTGACAAGTACGATATCTGATTCCACAGAGTTTGAGAAAAGAACCAAGATAATGGTTCTGTGAGCAAGATGAGTATTAAGCCAGCTAGATGCCGAGCCCAGATAAGTCCGTTCACATTATGGTGAAGTTCCTACCTCGCCCACGAGTAAAAGTAAAGAAAAAAAAGATCGAAAGCGAGTCTATGTGACTCAAGAGAAAGAAGAGAAAAGCGAGTCTGTGTGACTTAAGTGAAAGAAGAGAAAAGCGAGTCATTATGACTCTAAGAAACCTCCACAGAACAAGTGTTCCTTGTTACAAAAGAAAGAGTGTATATGTATATCTATCTATACTTATATTAAAGTATCATGTTCATTTTATTGCATGATTAAATGATTTGCACGTATTGCATGAAAGAATGAGAAGAAGCATGACTTTATATTGCCATTTATCCATTATATGATAGCTTGAGATTGCTTATTGAGACATGATAATATGAGATTGTTTATTAAGATATATGATAGCATGAGATTGCTATTGAGACATATGATAATATGAGATTGTTTATTAAGATATTTGATAGTATGAGATTGTTTATTGAGACATATGATAATATGTGATTGTTTATTAAGATATATGATAGCATGAGATTGCTTATTGAGACATATGATAATATGAGATTGTTTATTAAGATATATGATAGCTTGAGATTGCTTATGGAGACATATGATAATATGAGATTGTTTATTAAGATATATGATAGCTTGAGATTGCTTATTGAGACATATGATAATATGAGATTGTTTGTTGAGATATATGACAACATGAGATTGCTTGTTAAAGTTTAAGTATAGTATTACCCATTAGCTTGAGCATGATTAGTGTATTTCGCCATGATAAGATATATATGAGAAAGCATGAGATTGATGATGAGTTAAATGCTTGAGGAAGCATGCCTATTTGTTAATTAGGTTGCAAGCATATAGAAATACTGTTAAGTATGTTTAAATGTTGTTTAAAGTGATTGAGAATACTTGATCTAATTGTGTGAAACAAATGTTTTCCAAAAGTATATATATTGTAGTACTTTATAGGGTTGAGTGACATTATACTTAGCTTCGTGCTAACGGGTTGTTTTCTACTTGTTTGTTTGTTAACCCCTTTCAGGTGGGCCCAGAGAGCGATCGAGTTAGACTAGCTAAGCTTAGAGTGCTAGTTGTAGTCTAAACTCTTATCGATTATGTTTAGTTTTTAGACTTGGTTGTAGACCTATCTAGATGTTTTTGATGGTGTTGGACACCGGGATTTTATTCCCCAAGTTTGTTTAAAGTTAGCTAAGATTGACTTTGTTTAGATATTTTCCTTGTCTGTGCAATCTCCGTGTGTGGTGATTGTGGCGATGACACCTCTAAAAGTTTGATTAGTAAGTTTATTATGCTTGTTTAGTATCCCTTTCTAAGTTAAGTATTGTTAATAAAGTTTAAGAAAAGTGGGGTGTTACAATGCATGTCGAACAAAGCTCGTTTAACTTCCTCTGCATCCACTATATGCAGCAACATCCGGCTCTGTAGCTCGGTAATCCTTTGGCTAAGACTTTCAAGCATAGGTTGCATTGATCCATGGTCTGAAATTATATTTATAGAAAAGTGAATAAAATAAAAGATGATGTGCAAAAGTGTAAGATACACAAAAATGAAAAAAAAATGGAGAATGATTTAAGAAAAAAAATATGATAGAAGATTATATGGTGATGTGGTGATTGACCTAAAAATTGAAAGAATATAAGAGCATCCCCAATAGTTGTAGTTTTTGAAAAATTTTTGTATGTGTGACTAGGAAAAAAAATAGAAGAGAAGGGAATTTTTTTTTGAAAGGAAAATGATCAGAATATATTAAACCAAAAGCTCGTGAATGGAGTCAGGGGGTCAAAATCCCAAAATAAAGTGTCTTCCTACAGCGAGGAATTATTCGCATTTCTAGGAACGAAAATAATTGGGCAAGAATCAAAGTCATTCATCAAAAAAATGCAATCCTTAGTAGCTATACCAATATAGGAAAGGAAAAATTATTCATGAAAAAATAAATAAATAAAGATTTACGCGTCCGAAAAGGTGCGTGCAAGCACGACATTGGCGCCTCGCGCAAGGCAACTTTTTAATTGTTGCATTCTTGATGGGGCCACATATCTTACAAAAACTAAGCTCCTTCATGAAAGATCCATTTCGTTCTATCTCTCTTCTAATCCTCTCTCCTCCACATATGCATTCATCCCTTAAAGATCAGAAAAATGTTATGTGTATTCCCATTTTTTTACTCTAAATTTTTATTTTCATACACAATTTTTATATAGATACTCATATGAAAAAAGTAACTTATCAAGTCTGCTATATAATAAAATTTAAAAAAATAAAATTTAAGAATACATATTTTGAACTTTAAAAATCACACCGAAAACTTTTATTAGGGATGACGTGATAGGAGATGACATGGTGATGTGAGTGATATGAACTTCAAAATGGAGAGAAAAGAGAGGATGGTTAACTTCCACAGTAATTTCTTTCCTCAAAGCCCTAACTTTCATTTCATGAAAACAAAGAGAAATGCTAATTTGTCTTTATTCTTCACTAACATGAGTTGGAAGAGAATAAGGAGAGCAAGCTCTACTCCCACTTCGGCCAATATTTCTAAGCCCTCACTGCGTGCGTTTCCTTCTCTCCCACAAACGCTTTCTTCAAATCATAATAACTCGGTTTCTTGGAATCAATCCAAATTCAGAAACAGCTTTAATGATTTAGACGATGCCCTGAATTTATTCCGTCAAATGGCTCATACCCACCCCTTTCCTTCAACAAACTGCTTAGTAGAATTCTGAAATTTGAAGCATTATTCTGTAGTTGTTTCCCTCTTTCAAGAAATGCGCATTAAGGGCATCCCCATCGATGTGTATACCATTAACATTGTGATGGGTGTGTACTGCCGCTCAAGCCGAGTAGATTGCGGGTTTTGTGTACTTGGTGTGGTTTTCAAGTGTGGATTTGAGTTTGATGTGGTCACATTCACCACTCTGATTAAGGGCCTCGTTCTGGATAATAACATTGTGGAGGCTGTAGGGCTATTCAAAAAGTTGGTAAGGGAAAATGTGTGCAAAGTTGATCAAATTACTTACGGTGTTCTTATAAATGGGCTTTGCAAGGCAGGCCATACACAAAATGCTCTTGATTTACTTACAGTAATGCAAGAGGAGGGACCTAAGCCTAATACTATAGTCTACAACACTGTAATTGATTCTCTATGTAAAGACAGAATGGTTGATAAGGCTCTTGGCCTTCTCTCTGAGATGATTGAAAGAGGGATTCCCCCGAATATCATCACATATACTTCACTGATTCAAGGCCTTTGCAATTTTAGCCGATGGAAAGAGGTTACCAAGTTAATGAATGAGATGGTGCTACATAATGTATATCCAGGTGTAAGGAGGGGAAGTTGGAAAGTGCGGAAACTATTATTCAGATCATGATTCAAAGGAAGATTTATCCTAATGTCGTCACATACAGCACTCTTATTGAGGGGTACTGTTTGCAAGGACGGATGGATGAAGCGAGGAAAGCTTTTGGTCAGGTGGTAGAAAGTGGCCTTCAACATAATATTGGGACCTATAACACATTAATTAATGGATACTGTAAAATAAAAGAAATGGATGAGGCCATGGATCTGTTTTGTGAAATTCCTCAAAAAGGGTTTCATCCTGATGTTATTACGTATACCACAATGTTGCAGGGGTTATTTCTGGTGGATAGATGTTCTGCTGCACTGAAACTTTTTCAGAAGATGCTGGTTGCTGGAAATAAACCAGATTATTACACTTCATGTGTCTTACTTGATGGTTTGTGTGATAATGGACTTGTTGAAGAGGCTATGTCAGTCTATCATCAGTTATTAAATAGAAACAGAAATGGTTCTCATGTTTATGGTACCATCATAATTGATAGGCTCTGCAAGTTAGGACGGCTTAATGTTGCACGCGATCTATTCAATGACCTCATCTCTAAAGGGCGACACCCAAATGTGTATACATACACCGCAATCATAAATGGGCTTTGTCGAGAAGGATTAATAGATGAAGCCTTAGAGTTGTTAAGGAAAATAGAGAGAAATGATTGCTTACCAAATACTGTGACTTATAATGTTATTTTGTTAGAGAGAGAAAATGTGATGAGGCAAATCTAGTTTTGAATGAAATGGTTGGTAAGGGTATTTCTCCAAATGATTGCACATTTATCTTCATAAACGACTTACTTGCACTTAAAACTAAAACCGGAGATGAGACAGTACTAAAGGTGATACAGAAATTTGCTGCAAATCATGTAAAGTAACTACATATTTGGAATGTTTTAGCTTCTCTGCTTGTTCATGGATTGCTACTTTTGGAGGAATGTTTTCGGGGATTTCACTCCCAGTTCCATCTTCTGTTCAAATGTGTGCATATTTCTTGAGTCAAGTCTGCTAAACACAGCTCTTTATTGACCAAAAGACTACCCTTGGAAGATTGGATCTGTAGAATAGGCTTTAGTTTTCTTTCCTTGAGTTTGTGCAAGACTAATCTAGTTGTGGTGGTCTTGTGAGAGTTGTTTATATCTAATTGTGATCTTTTGTCGAGCAGATGCATGACTATGTGCTTCATAGTGTAATTTCCCTAATAGATAAAAACTCATCTCATCTATGTTACATCACCATTGTTAATTATACAAGGTAAACAAAACCAAAAGCACTACAACAATATTATTAAGTAGCCAAGCAAAAGCAGCAAAGATGACAGAATGAGCTCCATTGAATAAGCCCGGTGGGCGGTGTCCGGAGCCGGAGCCGGAGAAGGAGGCCGACGACTATCAACCGCCACCTTCTCTTTAGGGCAGGTGTAACCGCAGCGGCTTGGTCTGACAACTCTGTAAACGCCGGTGCTGGTTAAGATGAAAACATCTTTTCTGTTGTCCTGAGCAAATGAGAAAATGTAGCCTAAAGCAGGCAGAGGGGTGTGGGTGTTGGGGACAGTGGTGCAGTTGAGTGGTGAATCATGGGCACACCCAAAAGCCATGTCTGTTTTTGTGAAGTTGCCACTGTCTTTGGGGGTTTCTACACCTGCCCACATGTTCTTTGCATACAAATCCCCATACAAATAACTGCACATCATAGATTCATCATTGTTATTATTAGCAATGTTGTAGAATATGTTAGGCACTAGTCGGATGCCGCCTAACGCTTAGAGCGCCTAGGGGGTGCTGTTATAATCCTCAAACTAGTCATATGTTATATGATCAGTTGAGTACATGACTGGAGAAATATAGGAGAAGAGTAGCCAAGTAGGCAAAAAAAACCACTCGATCGAGTGAGTCTCAACTTAGCCGAGTTAGGCGCTCAACTCAGCCGAGTCGGCACCTTGGATGCCTAATCGGCCGATTTGTCGGTCAACCAACTAAAAGCCGTCTAGGCTGAAATCGCCTTGGCCTAGGGCCCACTAGACCGGTTTTTACACTTGGTCAAGTCAGCGCCTAGGGTATCTAGTCGGCCAATTAGTCGATCAGCTGACTAAAAGTCGTCTAGGTTTAAAATCGCCTCAGCCGGCCCCCTAGTTGGCACCTAGACTGATTTTTATAACACTGGTTATTAGCCACCCATCAAACCATATTTAAAGTTTTAATTAAACTCTTTTGTGCTTACCTTCCATACATGCAGGGATCAGTCTGGGAGCGGTAGAAGAATCCGCCGGATATTGCTGCTGATCCTATCTCTTTATTTATTTCAGAATGGTTGTACCCAAGAACTGGGAAGATTGGATCAAAAGAAGTGGTGGAAGTATTCTCTCCTGCAGTTTCATTAGGCTTGAATGGTATAGGACCTTCAAAATTGCTCCATCCATAGTTTCCTCCCTTTGTAATTATATCCACTTCTTCGTATTGATCCTACATATGCATTTTGTTAACATTCTTTTTTTTTTTCTATTACTCGAGAGTGAAATTTCGCGTTGTAACTTTAGCCAGCAAAGGACCACAACCACAAGGAGGTAAGGTAAGCCATCCTAGGCGGCTCAAACCAAAAAGGCAAAAAGACTACTCCCACTGTAAGTCGAACTTGAAATCTTGTGGTTACCAAGTCAACAGCTCAACCAATTTCACTGGGTGTCCCATTTTATTAACATTCTGACAAGAAAAACCCGTAGTCACTACTCCATTTTATTAACATTCTGACGAGAAAAACCCGTAATCACTACTCGAGATTGTACACACAAGGATAAATCCCGCCTTTGTGATCCTAACCCGTCGGCAAAAGACCACAAGAAGGCAAACTAACATAAGTTGTAGTTGACTCAAACCAAGAAAGCAAATATAGGTCGTTCTTACTAGAAGTTGAACCTGAAATCTTGTGGTTACCAAGCCAACCGTCCGATCAAGGGTTGTCCCATTTTGTTAACATTCTTGATATGCAGTGTACTAAGTATATAACATAATCAATCTATATAAGAAGTGCATGATAAATACCTGGCCAACATCTCCACAGAGGAAATAGTTAGGCCTTTCTGCATCAAAGCTGCAGCGCCAAGGATTTCTGAGACCAAGAGCCCATATTTCGTGCGCCACATCCTTCTCCTCGACGTAAGGATTATCATCAGGAACGGAATAGTTTCCCCAGAGGCCAAGATCAGATATTTGTTGTTCGCCTTCGTGAACGAATCAGAGAAATGAAAGATGAGGATGCTGCAGTAAATGCCTACTTCTTTCTGATCTGATATGTACTGTACTGTACTTACTTGGTATGTTATCTACATCAAGCCTCAGAATTTTGCCCAGCAAAGATTTTTTGTTTTGAGCAAAGTTGTATAGATCACCCTTGCTTCCGCCATCGCCTAACATCACATACATGTATCCATCCTCGGGCCCGAAAAGAATTTGTCCACCATGACTGTCTGCATATGGAAGTCCCAGTGTGAATATTCTTCTCATTTCTGAAGGCTTTGCTTTTTCTGCCTGCAAATTTTATAACATTGTAAACACCACCAGATTTCCATTTTTCTTTGGTTAAAATAAATCCCCAGAAGTTGATGTGAAGCTGTTGGTCTGAGGCCGCCAGGACGGCACTAGGTGGTTAAGGCTGAGGGGTCAAGTTTAGCACCTTACTTCTTAAAAATGTGACAGTATAATGAAATAAAGGAGTTTTTTTTTTGCATTTTTGGTTCCACGAGTATTGCGTTACTAACAATGTTGAATTCACAACTTTCAAAACTTGCGTAATTGGTTCACGAGTATTAATTTTTTTAGTGCAAATGGTCCTTTCGGTGAAATCTCCCTCAATTTTTCACCGGAAAAATTATTTCCCTTTTATAGCAGGGGTATAATGGTCTTTTCATTTTACCACCATGTTTTCTCCCATAAAAGTTCAATTCCAATTTCACACTTTTGATCCCACGAGTATAGTGACACTAAGATGTTTGGTTCATGGAAGGAAAACATTTTCAAAGTGAAGGAAAATGTTGTTTTCTAGTGTTTGGTTCATGGAATTGGAAAATGAATTCCTCAAATTTGAGAAAAACAAAATCCTTGGTTGGACCAAGGATTTTGTTTTCCATGGAAGATGGGAAGAAAAAGTGAATAGATTGCCTATTTTACCTTTGCTTTCTTTTTTAATTATATTACTTTTATTAATTTGTAGGGGCATATATGTCTTTATACTCATTATTCCTTACAATTCCAAATCTAACCAAACAATAGAATTAGTATTCCCAGTAATTTTTTTTCCACCAACCAAACAATGAAATTCATCTTCCTAGTAATTGTTTTTCCATGGAATTTCAATTCCACTTCCCTTAAAATATTTTCCGCGAACAAAACAAGGGCGGGAATTGTAAGGAATAATGAGTATAAAGACCTATATGCCCCTACAAATTAATAAAAGTAATATAATTAAAAAAGAAAGTAAGGGTAAAATAGACAATCTATTCACTTTTTCTTCTCATCTTCCATGGAAAACAAAATCTTTGGCCCAACCAAGGATTTTGTTTTCCTCAAATTTGAGGAATTCATTTTCCAATGGAAAATGAATTCCATGAACCAAACACTAGAAAACAACATTTTCCTTCACTTTAAGGAAACATTTTCCATGAACCAAACATCCCTTAACAATAATATTGATCCACAACTTTCAAAACTTGCATAATAGTATCAACTTCTTAGCACAAATGGTCCTTCTGGTGAAATCTTCGCAAAAGAAAAAGACCATTATACCCCTACTATAAAGGATAAACAATTTTTCAGGTGAAAAATTGACGGAGATTTCACTGAAATGACCATTTGCGCTAAGAAATTGATACTCGTAGACCAATTATGCAATTTTTAAAGTTATGAATTAACATTGTTAGTACTACAATACTCGTTGGATCAAAAATGTGAAAAATTTAAAAATAAAATTATGCCTTCACTACTAATTATAGCTTTTGACTTAATGGTAAGCGTTTGATCCTAACAGAAACATACGTACCAGTGAAGGATTTGGAGCTGTTCCATTAGCACTATACTCTGCAACAACTGTATGAAATTGGCATGGCTGAGAGGCTATCTTTGAAGGATCACAGCCAACATCTGAGTTGCAGGCACACCTTCCGACGCAGCCGGGGGACTTGGACTTATCGCAGTTGAACGATGCGAAGAAGCGCCCGTTCTGTGCAAACTTGGGGTGGAAAGCCATTCCCATCATCCCAAACTTAGCATCCAGATAAACTTGATCTGTCAAGTCAGCAAATGGACTTGATTCATCTAGTCCCATTGCCTGTCCAGAGTCCTGCTCGGGTATCGTAGCCAGCCAAATTTTGCCAGGCTGATCAGAGAAAAACGCCCGGTTTGATCCATCGGGGTGAGGGACCATGTTGAGGTAATTGGTTCCACTGCCAACCTTCTCGAGGCAAATCCCATTCGGGACTGGAAAGCTACCACTGCTGCTGTTCAGCTTAACTGGTTCGCCGCTGAAACAATAGGAGCTGTTTCCCCCAAATGCTTGACAGAAATCATCTTTAGATTGCCAGAGGTCTGCTAGCTTGGAAATGGTGGAGTTTTGTGGCTCTCCCGCCTTGGTTTGCAAAGAGGGAGCAAAGGGAGAGTTGAGTATCGGTATGGTTTCGCAGGCATCCCAAACAGATGAACAAAAGCTATCATCATTGCCTTGCTGCCTTGATAAAGACGGGGTTGATTTAGAACCTGTGTTGCACAAAACTGGTATCGGTCTAGGCCCGGACTTAACCTTGAACAACTCTGCTGAAAATTGATCACAAGCCTGCAAAAAATCATACCAAATTTTCACTTTCACAGTGTATCAGATGAACATCAGCTTCAAAACTGTGCTAGTTACAAAGTCCTTTAACTCATTGTTTTCCTTTGAAATAGTTTCATTTCAAATCGTGCTAGACTTGGCCTTTTACCGGCCTCCGCCTAACAATTCCTTCAGCACCCCTTAATTGCAAAGTTTTTACTCTTGCTCTTATGTCACAGGTTAGGATTAAGCATTTACCAATATGCCAAAAGTTATAATTAGTGGCAAAGGCGCAACTTTATTTTCTTATACCCGTCACGTTTTTGATAGTCAGGGTGATGGACTTGAACTTTCAAGCCTCCACCCAACAATCCCTAGCCACCTTATGGTGGACTTTGTCCTTCAGTCCTCCGCCTAACAATCCCCTAGCCACCTGATGCTGGATTTGGCCCTTCAGGCCACCATCCAACAATCACCTACCCACCTAATAGTGGATTTGGCCCTTCACCGACCTCCGCCCAACAATCCCTGAGGAACCTGATGCTGAATTTGGCCTTTCAAGCCAGCACCCAGCAATCACCTACCCACCTAATACTGGATTTGGTCTTTCAGACAGATTAAAACCTAGACTCTATCTCTCTCTGACAGATTAGATGATATCACAAACTTGAAATTTTGCAAGTTAGAGAGTTACCATAGCTTTAAAACTTTTTCAACATGCCTAAATTTGCAAGTTCACTTATAATACAAAGTAATCTCAATTATAATGATGCTTAAGAAAAATGTGACAAAGAACTTACTGCACAGAGGATTGATTTCACAGCAGAAGCACAAGCAGAATCAGAAATGTTCATGCCTGCAAACTTCTTCTGCAGCTGCAAATCTTTGGAAGAGTCACAGCAAACAGTCCCATTGTATGGGCAGAAACTCAGAGGCTTCTTTGCAGTGGTGGGTGCTCCTAAATATTCCAAAATTTTGAAACAAACAAACCCATCATCATTTCATCAAACTGATATTATATGCTTCAGAAATTAAAGTTGCATGGAAAATGAATTAAAAAGATGAACAAATTAAAGAAACTTACTCAGGTCTGTACACAAAGGGTGTGAAGCAGAAGGGTTAATGAAGCAGAAGAGTAGCAGACAAAAGAATGAGCAAAGCATGGTGGGGAACTTTGCCATCATTTCTGGAAACTTCAAACTCCAAACAGAGAAGGACAAAGATATATACACCAAAGTGGAAACAAAAATTAATGCCTCATGGTGAAAGAGACACAAGTGTTTTCAAGATATATATTGGTTTTCTTCATCACCATTTCTCTACATGAGTGGTTTAGCTTAAAGTGAGTGTCAAGAAAAATTCAAGAATTTCCAGAATATGTTGAACAGTTCATGTGAAAGTTTGAGTGAGAGAGTGAGCAATTCTTTTTTTTTTTTTTTTTTTTTTTTAGTTAGTTAATGTCAAACGGGTCCTCCGAGAATAGTGATTTTGCCACGTTTAGTCCTAAACTTTTAAATCAACCACTGGTCCTTCGACTTTCTAGTTACCATCTGTGGTTCAAGTTAACCGGTCTTTCAACTTTCAAAATTTAACCAGTCTTGGTTCTGTTGGAAGAATCATGAGTGGTTAAAAATTGATAGTTGAAGGACCATAAGTATTAACTTAGACCATGGATACTAACAATTTAAAAGTCAAAAGACCACGGGTGATGAACTTAAAAGTTTAGAACTAAATATGACAAAATCACTATACTCAAAGACCTAAGATGATATTAACTCTTTTTTTTTTTTTCCTTACATTAATTTGAATTGTCCAATACCATGGATGAAGTCCCTTTTTTACCAGAAAGGCCAAGTTGGTGCAAGTAGACAAGGAAAAATGGGCACTGAAAATAAATGTGGGAAGCAATAATTCATCACTTTGGGACCCAATGACCCATAACCATTTTTGACTGAACAAAAACGTCTTGACGTGTAGGTTATGTCAATATTTAAAATTATGTTCTATCGAATACATAACGAGAAAATTAACTTTAGCATATGTTAAAGAAGTTTTCGTTACATATTCGTTGGTTTAAAAAAAAAAAAAAAAAAAAAAAAAGTTTTGGTTAGATATTCGTAAATTTAATCGAGTTTAAGATGTTGATAAACATATATATATAGCGTGTGAAAAAGATTTTAAAAAATAGTAATTTGGGCTGACTTGTAGCTTGAGATATCTCAGTGGATGAGAAGTGGTTGGAAAGTTTAAAGATAGTGCTGTTGTGCAGATAGACATTTATAATTTAGCAGCTGAGCTGGATGAATATGTTGAACGTGATCAGTGCAATGACATCAGAGATATAATGAACATATATTTAAATTTATTATCTTGATTTACACCTCCTTCTTCTCCATCATTTGGTTAAGCGTGTCTGACTTAGCAGTAGTCACAGGATGGATGATCTATTGGGAAGTAAGCATAATGCATTGTTAAGATTGACTATGGCGGACTATCCCATAAATCAAAGTATTTATTGTTAACTAGATAATAATTAATTAATTATTGTAAATTTTTTTTTAATTTCTTTGAATTATTGTTCAATGTTGTATCTTTTGAAAATTATTATAAACTTTTAAAATTATTTCGGTTTTTTTTTTTCAAATTATTGTTGATGGTTTCACTTTTTCTAAATTTTTGTTAATTATTTTGATCTTTTGAATTTTAAATATTATTGCAATTTTTGTTAATTATTTTTATTTGTTTCCAATAATCGGTAATATTTGTGACTTTTTTGTGAATTACCATACATTCATTTATTGTTATTGTTGTTGTTATTATTATTACGGAGTATTATTTTTATACTTAGGTGATCCCAGTTTCGCCGGTCTAATCTTAAACTTACAAGATCTCATCCCTTAGAGCAACTGCAAAGGTAAATCGTATGTCGCTCAGTGGAATTCGAACCCCCACACTGCTGCGTTCAGTCGTGACATCAAATCGAGCAAGTGACGAAGCACTATATGCTAACACTACTGCATTCAGTCGTGACATCAAGTCGAGCAAGTGACAAAACACTATATGCTAAGTCAGGGCTATTATTATTTATTATTATTATTATTATTATTATTAATTAATTATTATTATTATTATTGAATTGTGATGTGTTTGAGAACAGGATTCGATCCCACAATTGTGATTTGAAAGCAGAAGAAGATGGAGCAGTGATGTATGTGTGTTGATCACATGCATGCATGATAGCATCTGTTCTTAATACAATATTAAATTGGCAATATATATTAATAGGATAATCAATGCTATATCCTAATTACATTTTGTTTATGGTGAAATTATATTTCTTCCTTTAAAAAAATATATCTTTGATTTTGATGGATATCTAAAAACATATATAATAAGTGTGAATAAAAGTTATACCCCTGATTTATGTCTGTTTTTTTCGTTAAGTTTTTTTGTACATTATGCTATAAAGGTTGTACATTAAAATATTTTAGACAAACATACCCCTACCGTTATAACTTCTGTTATCTTTTCCACTATTGTTACCATACACATGCATCCACCATATATTTTCTTATCTTCTTCATTAATAATAATATATACACATTAAATATTTGAGTTATATGTTAATTATTACATAAATATAAATATTAAATTTATAAAAATGATTTACATTATTATTATTATTATTATTATTATTATTATTATTATTATTATTATTTAGAAATTAGAATAATTTGAATATCTAAAATCTAAATAAATTTAAAATTTTAATATAATGTATTAATATTGGGCACATATTTTTACGCATCGCGCATAAAAAATACTAGTATTACAATATGATCGGAACAAATCGACCGATGGAGGTGGAGCAAGACACCGGGCCCCCCGGGGTTAAGGCCCGTGCTCGACCCATAGGGCCTCGGCCCATGAGGCCTCGGCCAGGAGTAGGTGCCGACCCCAAAGGGGTCGACCATAAACGGGGTCGGCTATAAACAGGGCCGACCTGGGAACCAGTCAACCGGGCACGGTCAACGCGGATCCAATCACCACCCGCTTTAGGAGGTGGAGGCTAGGGTGGGGTTGTATAAAAAACCCCACACCTTGTCTCTTTAAGACACATTCTCACTATCTTACACACCTTGTCCTAACGGGTCGTTGTAATAGCCTATTTACGGCATTTAATATAATATACGGTCTTCACGGCCTTACGACATCGTTCTATCCTTTTATTATTTGCATTCTTATTGTTTGGGTTTAATAATTCGAGTCACCCCGGATTAATTAAATCCATCAGATTTATATAATTTTTTTTTAGATAAGTGGAAAAGAGACAAGCTAAGCTAAGGATTCTCATTCTTGTGGCACCAACACTATCCTCAAGAAGCATTTGCTAATTAAGGAGACACATGAGGGTAAGAAAACATCTACGACCTCTTTTGCTTCATAATGATAATGTGGTGTTTGGTAAATAACTATCAGATGATAGCTATTCATTAGCTGATTGAGTTAGTGAATTTGACTAGTTAATAATATTAGCTGATTGTATAGTAGAAAAATGTTTGGTAAATTAACTATTAGTTGATAGCTTATTACCGAAATGACTTTCTAAAAAAATTACTTTGAATAACTTTTTGAATTTTAACATTTTGGAGCAATAAGTTGTTACAAAAAACTAAGTAATCAATCAAACACTCATATTGATTTTGTTTAATTAAGTCAAACAGCTAATAGTGGTCAAAGCTAACTATGTTATATAAACCGGCCGGGCCAAACACACTCAACTGAATTTTAATAAAATTGATATACTGACGTTTAAAATTTTTTTTTTAAAAAAAAATTGTATGGAACATTTTCTTCTTTTTTGGTATTCAGTATGTAGAAGTATTATCTTTTTACTTTTTTTTTTTGGTTTTTTTTTTTTTTTTTTTTTTTTTTTTTTTTTTTTTTGGGTTTGAGAATGCCATATCTTTCTAAAACATAAATTAAATTACTTTTTTTTTTAATTAAAAAGAATCAACAAGTAAAAAATGTGGATTATAAAGGTTGTACATTAAAATCAGAACATAATTGTATGGGGTGAACATACAATTATGAACATACTGTTACACGGTAGGGGTGAACATATAATTCTATAATTATGAATATAGAGTTGTGAAAATAATTATGAACATATATTTATGTAATTATGAATATAGAGATTCAATAATTGTTAATATGAAGTTCAAAAATTATGAATATATAGCTTTATAATTATGAACATATAGTTCAGTAATTATGAACATAGATTTCTGTGATTGTGAATATAGAGTTCAATAATTATGAATATGAAGGTCAAAAATTATGAATATATAACTTTATAATTATGAACATATAATTCAGTAATTATGAACATAGAATTGTGTCCACCTTATAAGGTGGACACGGTTCCACAGCATAAGGATTGTAGGTCCGTAGCGGCGTAGCTTTGACGGCTTGAGTTCATTACTGATTTACCGAATACCGACATTACGCAAATCACCAAATCTCACAAACAGCAGCGACAGACAGACGCCAATTTCAACATGCAGCAGTAGCATGCAAATACGCAAATAGCATACGACAGACGCAGCTCGGCAGAATTCTTCAATTCATTCTTGATTATACAAAGTCACGAATTTAAAAGTTCTTCAATTCTCTTAACATGTAATTAAAATTACTAAATATTTCACAATTCTTGGTTTTTTTTTTTTTTTTTTTTTTTTTTTTTTTACATAACTTAATAATCCTGATTTCAGAATAATATATTAAGATTTTGTTTTTTTTGATTAATTATTTATTCATAAAGTTTTAAAATAAATTCTTATTTTTTTTCTTAGGATTTTATAATTATATCTTCTAGAAAATATTCATCTGGGTTTGAGAAGCGTACAAAGAAAAGAAGAATTGTTAGATGCTACTCATGAAGATCAAGATGATTATGAGATTGGAAAAAATTTAAATGATAATGTGCACAACAATGATAGGAAAATGAAATTTTAGAAGAAGTTGATAACAAAAGTTTGGTGGTTGATTTTGAGTCTAAATGTGCACGGCGCATCTCAATTTTTAAAATTAAATTTAGATGTATTTTTTATACAATATTTATATTTTGAATTTTTGATACAACTTTTTGAACAACTATTATTTATATATACAAATTAATTACTTGAAAAAGGGCCTAATTTGAGACATTGCACAGGACCTCAATTTTTATTGGAACGGCCCTGTTAATATTGGGCACCTATTTTTTGCGCATCGCGCATAAAAAAATACTAGTTATGCTAATATATATGGTAGTGTAGGTTATAATTCTATCACGCATACATGATCATCATATAGTCTATTGGTATTATTTCATGCATAACCCACTCAATGTGAAAAAAGGTTTTTCTTATACTAG